CTCATGCGGCGGCGATTACGATGAGTGCTTGGCGCTGGCTGGTGCATCTCTGCGGCCGCGCCAGCCCGCGCATGCGGTCGCGCAGCGGCCAGATAGTTTGGCGCGACCGACGCGGCCGCGGCGGTGCTGACCGCTCGGCACATCCACGCGGGCACTTGAGTGCGAGTCGGAAACTTGGACGGGCGCGGTATCATGGCAACGTTGACAATTGTAGACACGATGATGATGATGATAATGATGACGATGACGATGATGACAATGATGATAGTAGCGATGTTGGCGACGATGCCGACAGCGACGATGGCACGGCCAGTGGCGGCGTCGATGCCGATCACGCCGGCGACGATGGCGGCGTCTTCGCGTCGGTGATGAAGGTTTGGAAAAGAATTCGAAATGCGCGCGCGGCAGACGCGCAAGAGTGGCTCGCATGGTATTTTTTGACACGGACTGTGCCACCCCAGCACGCGCGCAAGGGCGTTCGAACGATTTCGGCGCGCGATCGCGCGCGAAGCCCGTCGGGGGCCATTTTATCAAAGTGTGGGACCGTTTTCAACGACAAAAAAGTCGTAAGAGCGCGCGCGCGCGTTGAATGAAAACCCGCGTTGCGGAAATGTTTCGTGCTGGCATGGTTTTTTGGACACTCGATGTTGCAAACCCTCCGATACCGAAGGTTTTTGATGGATTTCGGCATGCGCGGGCGACGACGCTCGCGCGCGCACTTCGTCTCATTTGTTGTAAAGGGTTCTCGCGACGGCACGCGCGCAAGGGCGCCCGAACGATTTCGACATGCGCGCGCGAAACCTGTTTGGTATCATTTTCAGAAAGTGGTGCAGCACGTATAGTGTTCTAAGAATTCGCAAGAGCGCGCGCGGGAGTGTTTTTTTTTTGTTTTCTTTGTTTGTTTTTTTGTGAATCCGTGTTCAGATACCTGGTGTATATATATATATATATATATGTGTTTTCTTTGAACAATCGATTTTTCTTCTGCCGACACCGAAAAACACTTGATTTCGAAGTTTGGTGTCTGGCACGCGCGCGCGACAACGCGCGCGCGTGCACTTCGTCCCGTTTTCTTTTGCAACGAACTCTTGCACACCCATGCTTTTTGATGAACAAGCGTGCGCGAATATTTGTTTTGCAGGGGATGGCGGGGGGGTGGGATACCGCCCCCCCTCCCCTCTGGGATGGTGCACGTTCATACTTGGGATGGACGATGGGCCGAATTACATATGTGAATTGCAACACGAGAAAGGGGAAATGATAGTCCCAGGGGGAGGGGATGGAGTTTATTTTCGATTTCAAAAAGACGATATCTGCGGCGCAATCTATGTGGCGCACTTCGCCCTGCCAAACTTGAAGTTGTCAACTCCGCTGCTCGTGCAATCGTCCCACCCGCCCGCCCGCGACGTTGTTTGGCAAAACCCACGCCGCGGCGATTGCGATGAGTGCTTGGGGCTGGCTGGCGTGTCGCTGCGGCCGCGTTAGGACGCGCAGGCTCGCGCGCAAAGCGGCCAGCTAGTCTGACGCGACCGACGCGACCGCGGTGGCGCTGTCCGTCGGGGGGTTCCCACCGCGTCTCCCAGGCTACGCTGCCGCGGGGGGGTTTCAAAGAGAGTCGTTGGTTCGTGAGCGCGCGGTATAATGGCGACGTCGGCAACGGCAGGCACGATGATGATTATAGTGATGTTGGTGACAACGATGGCGATGACGATGACGACGCCAAAGCCAATGATGGCGCCGATGTTGATCACGCCGATGACGATGATGGTGTCCACGCGGCCGCGACGAATGTTGTGGAAAGATTTCGACGTGCGCGCGCGGCCGACGGGCGCGACTGGCCCGCATGGGTTTTTTTGACAGGGGTCGTGCCCCCCTCGCACGCGTGAAAGGGCTTCGAATGACTCCGGCACGCGCGCGGGAAACGGCCGATTGGTCGCATGTTATGGAAAAGGTTGGATCACCGATGGTTTTGTGTCGAATGTTGCGCAAACGCGCGCACATGTTTTTGTTAACAAGTCCTGCTGCGAAGCCATGCGTTTTTCATTTAGAAACACACGTGTTTCGGGACACTCGATGTCGACATCCTTGTGTAACCTTTTTTTCCCATTGATTTCGGAACGCGTGCGCGACGACGCGCGCGTGTGCACGTCGTATCGTTTTTTTTTTTTTTGTTGCCAGGGTTTATGGATCATGTATGATTTTTTATATACGAGTGTGCGCGCATAGTGCTGTTGTGCGCAGCATGATGTGGAGGGTCGTATTTGGGTTGGCTGGGGTGGTGTGAGTTCGTACTCGCATGAGCGATGGGACAAATTCGTTTGCAAATTGTACATCCACAGAAGGGGATCGATAATCCCGGCCTCGGGGGGAGGTACATCCGAATTCTTTTGAAAACATGGAAATTTATGTGGCCCAGGCGACGGGCGGCGACGAGGCGGCGACGTGGAGGCGATGGCGACAGTAATAGCCGCCAGACCGCCACACCGGCCCAGATGACGAGCGGCGACGAGGCGGCGACGGGGCGGCCATGGCGGCATCATAGCCGCCAGAGCAGCACACTGGCCCATGCGACGGGCGGGGCGGCGACAACGGCCACATAGCCGCCAAAGCGACACGCTAGCCCAGTTTGTGAGAAAACCATTCAGAATTCCCAAGTGCAAGCACTGTTTGGGGAATAAGCAATCCCAGATCTCCGACGTCAATATACACTGGTTTACGCCACACCGCCGACCCCTTAGGGCCCGTGGATGCCGAGATCATGCTTGATCATCGGAGGTCGGTTGACGTATCGTTTTTTTTTGGGCCTCTTCCTCGTTTTTCTTCTCCTACTCGTCTTCCTCCTCCTCCACGGCTGTCCCCGAGGGAGTGGTGCCCCTCGGGTGGCTGATCGGGGCGGCACGCGCGGCGTGTCGCTATCTGAGGCCTCGGAGTGACAGAACGGGCTTGTAGGAAGGTTTGCCAGCTCAGTTGCTGCCTCCTGGCTCACGAGGCGCCCCCCTCGGCGCGCGTGTCGGGTACGTTTCTCGCCCTTTTCCTCGCCGCGGTAGGACTCCACAGGGGACCCCCCCCCGCCGAATTCGTCTGTGCCTGTTGGCGCCCGCCCGCTGCCGACGGGGCGGCCTGGGGCTCGAGGAGACATCGTTCGCTTCTGGGATGGGCTCTCCCTCCCCTCCTTCGCGTTCTGTTCCCTCCGCCCTCCGATTCCTCCGATTGACTAGCTGTTCTTTCTCGTTTGCCCACTGACTGTGACGTTCATCGTGTTCTCGCATTCTCCCATCAATTTTTCGATCGTCACAATCGTCGATCCCACGACAATGCCGCCCAAAGATGGGCATCCAGGGCCCCGAAAACGTGAAAACTGTGTTTTTGCGCCTGGGAGGGGCCCCTCGCCTTTCGTCCATTCCCATCTTTTGGAAGCAGTTTGAAGCCGCGGGCTCGCTTGAGCCTCCTGGCAGCCCCGACTGGGGTGTCTTACGCGTCTCTTGGGCCGTCTTGGTGCCATCTGGGGCTGTCTTGGGTCATGCTTGGGCCGTTTTGCTGGGGGCCATGCTGGGCTGGGGTTTTCTTGGGCTGTCATCGGCGCCTTTTGGGTCGTGCCAGGACCGCCTGCAGCCGTCTTGAGGCCCTCTTGGGGGCCACTTGGCTCGTCGTGGGTCGATCTTGAAGGCCTCTGAGGCAGTCTTGGGCGCTTGGAAACAGAGGGGGAAATGCTGAAAATGGCAATGTTCCTAAAGGAATGGGGCGATATTTGCTTGTCGGGGACTTCGTCAGGGGCGGGCGCCGTGTCGTAGCCGCCGGGGCCCGTCCGGGAGCAGGTGTTGGGCGGCCAGGGCCGCCAGCACCGCCGGCCTCCAGCCCCTCCAATCGGGCTCGACGGAGCTCCCGGGGGAGGGACGTGGGGAGGGGGAACAGTCTCACATGCCGTAGGCCCGAATGGGTCCCCCGGTTTGTTCCCTTGCGTCGAGCTCCAGAAGTCTGGACCAATTCCTCGGGACCTGGTTTTTCCCCCCGAGCCGCTTCTTCTCGGCCCCGCGGCCCCGTGAGGGCCCTGGAGGTTGAAACTAACGAGAGGCCTCCCGTAATAATGTTTTTGTTATGTTTGTTGTTGTTCTTGTTTTGTTGTTGATGTTGTTTTTGTTTTTGTTGTTGTCTTTGCTTTTGTTTTGGTGTTTCATTGTTTGATTGTTATTGTTTTTGTTTTTGTGTTTGATTGTTTTGCTTTTGTTTTTGTTTTGTATTGTTTTTGATTTTGTTTTGGATCCAGCGATAGCCCGGGTCAGCGGGCCCGCCCGCCCCCTCCCGGGGATCCTGTGACCCTGTCGGCTGCGCAGGTCCGACGGGGGTTACGCAGGTGTGCCGGTGCGCGCGGGCCTGCAGGGGGACTGCCCGACGCGAGACCAGGTGACTTGGCATCGCTCGCACGTGTGCATTTTTCCGTCGGCGAGGGCCCTCGAGGAGCATCCTTGATCATTTTTGCGCAAAAACCACGCGCGAAACCGAACAAAGCACAGGAAATGGACGTCCGAGCGATGGCCAGGTGATGGGTTCTCCGCCGTCGCGCCTCCACAGCCTCGGAGGCAACTCCTGGGAGGTCAAATTCTGATTTTGCCCTGGTCCGAGATCCGGCTAAATCCGCGGATATAGCCGGATCTCGGACCAATCCGCGGATTTAATCGGGATCCGGCTAAATCCGCGGATTTAACCGGGATTGAGCCGCGGCTCAATCCCGGTGAATTCCGACGAATCCGGCTTAATCCCGCTTAATACACTCCGGCGTAAGAGCCCCCAAATGGGGCTTGATCCTCCTTAATCCTTCCGGCGAAAGCCTCAGCTGCTGGGCCCTCGCCAAAGAAAAACAGGAACGGCCCCGAGGGGCTCCGGGGACCTCGTGCTGACCGCCACCTGCCCGAGGTCCGCTCCTGCAAGGACGGGGGCTGCGACGGCGGGGCGCGCGCCGGCGGCCCCGCCGACCCCGCGCGGAGCGACGCCGCCGCGGCCGCGGCAGGGCCGCGGCCGCACCGGGCGGCGGGCGAGGGCGAGCGGCCGGCGACGGGCCTGGGGCAGCTGCCGGGGTCCCTGGGCTCCCTGCTGGCGAGGGAGACCGAGGGGAGGAACACGTTACCAGCCTCGAACGTATCCCTATCCCTAAGATTGGCACGCCAAAAGGCGATGACAATCTTAGGGATGCGCCCTCAAAAAATAAGGGAGTCCCTGAGATTGGCATCGTGATGAGAAGGTGCCCAGCATAGGGATAGGGAAATGTTCCAGGCTGGTAAACACGGCCAGGCGTCCCTAAGATTGCTACGGCCGGTGCCGCCGACCCTGAAGACGACGACGACGACGAATACGAGGAGGCTGCCGACTGCGAGCGGCCGGCGACGGGCCTGGGGCAGCTGCCGGGGTCCCTGGGCTCCCTGCTGGCGAGGGTGACCGAGGAAAGGAACCTAAGATTAGGTCGGGCATGTCCCCCTACAGGGGGATTTGGGGCGAAACATAAAAACAGTCAAACAAAGAAGCAACAAATGCCCAACAAATACTAAGCAAATCGTCGCCATACTATTTTTTGACTACTTTTGAATATTCCTGTAGAGGGACAGGCCCGAGTTGATCCTAAGATCCTGGCGTCGCAATTCTCTTCGTAACGGGCGTGGTGGCCCTGCTTCGGGCCCTGGGGCCCTCACGGATCTGACGGTTCCGAGGCCCGGTGAGGGCCCCCGTTGTTTTCTGACGGTTCCGAGGCCCGGTGAGGGCCTCCGGAGGCCGAACGTAGCAATTTGTGTTCTGTCCTGATGATTCGTGGCCCGAGGGCGTTTGAGTTTCTTTCCCCTCCAGGAGATCCATCTTTAGACCGCATTCGAGTGAATCGTGCGGTAGTGTCTGTTAATCTATGATCAATCGCGATTTACATCGTCGATCAGCGTCGGCTGGCTTCGACGGGCGTGGACCAGCGGTGGACTGCGTCGGTTGGCGTCGACTCGCAAGAGCACGAACGATGGCAGGGGAGGCTCCCACATGTTGCCGCCGAAGATTCCGCGCTCAGCTTCTTGGCCAGCGAGAGCAACGGCCTGCGCCGCCACAACTGCCTTCCGAATTGCATTCGCAGCGGCCCCCGCCGCCTCACGGCCCCCATAGGCTCGACCTCGCATCTGGACCACCTCTTCGTGAGTGGCGAATTCAACGTGTTGCCCATCACCCCCCCCCACAACCCCTCCTTCTCGGAGCCCCCGCTGGCCCGGGGCGGCAGCAGCGGGCGCCCCTGCCGGCCCCCGTCCCTTGCCCCCCGCAGGAGATCCAGGCGGCGGTCCACAGCGCCCTGGACGAGCAGGCGGCCCGGGCGCGGCAGCAGGCGCCGCCGCAGCGCCAGCAGGAGGCACCGCCGCCCCAGGCCTCACTCGGGCGCGTCCCCCTGCAGCAGGCATGCTCCAACATAGCAGGAAAATACTCTGGGGACGATTTTTTTTGAGCACGTTTGACTATGTTTGCACATCTTCAGAGCTTTTATTCTTTTTGTTCCGTCCAGCTCCGCCTGTAGAAGGGGGACGTGCCCGACCTGACCCCAGGCCCGGGCCGATGCCGGCGCGAGCCCGGAGCGGCGGCGCACGCCCTGGCCGCAGCTGCTGGCATCGGGGGGGCCTGGCTGCTGGGGGAAGCTAGAGGCAAGAGAACTATGCACGTACACCGATTCTGGCCAGGACCATCCTGAGCCCAGGATCGGTGCATACGCCCTCTTGCCTTGGCCAGGAAGGTACATGCACCGATCCTGGGTCAAGGATGGGCGTTGTCAGGATCGGTGCATGTGCATAGTTCTCTTTCCTCTAGGAAGGAGCTTAGTGGGCCCTGGAAACGACAGGGCCGTTTTTGTTACCGGTTCCGCTTTGCCGTTTTTCTGCCAGTTCCGACGCCGTTTTTTTACTGGTTCCGTCGCCGTTTTGTGACCAGTTCCGGCTCCGGTTCCAATCTCGGAGCCGTTTTTGTTGCCGTTTCTGGTCGCCGTTTTTTTTTGCCGCTTCCATGTTCAATGGGCACTCTTTTGGAAACGGAGAAAAAACGGCCCTGCCGTTTCCGGGGCCCGCAAACTGGGTAGTCGAAGGCCAGACTGTCAGGCTGGCCCGGCCAAACTGGATGATTGGGGTTCTTCGCCAGACTGGATCCGCGTTTTGGCTCTCTCGCCAGATTGCCCCCCTTTGCCAGACTGGGCCTGCCGGATTGGCGCCAGATTGGCTTCGACGACCCAGACAAAGGGAGGGAGGCCCAGGCATGCCACGTGCCGAAGTCTGGGGGGCGCCAGTGGCTCTCGGCGGTTGGCCTCGGGGAGCCCCTGCGCGGGCCACGGGGCCCTCACGGAGATCGGCCCGCGGCGAAGAGCCGGGCCATGGGAAGGGGTCGAGGCTTCCAGGGACCGCGCTCGGGGGCGGAAGAGAGGGGGGTGATGACTATCTATATCTATATATATATATATATCCATATCTATATCTATATCTATATCTATATATATATATATATCTATCTATATCTATATCTATATATATATATACATATAGATGTATATATATAAGGTTTGGGTGGATGCCATGGCGGGGGCCATGATCTTTCACCAGACCTCACGGCGCCTCCTCTTGTTTCAGTGCGTCCCTGGCCCCCCCGCTGGGCCGCGCACATGCCGCAGGTCATGATTTGCACCTCCCCGTCTTGGACGCCCCCCTCGTTGGCCGCCCCCGAGAAAAGATGACCGCGTCGCATGCCCGGAGCCGCGGCACCACAACCATGAGGGGGGCCCCTACCTCCAGCGAGGAGACCCACGATGCCTCCCCGAGCCGGGGACACGGGGGATGTCTCGAGTGAGAGGGGGGGGATCGCACCCCCAGGGCCCCCCCTCCCCCCTCGCTCCTCCCGCTGGTGTTCCCTGGTGGTGGTGGTGTCGCTCCTCTGTGTTCCCAGGTTGGCGGCCGGGCACCGCGGATCGGAACGCCGCCGCCGCCGGGCCGCGGCAGGCCAGCTCAAAGGCCCGCCCGCTCAAGCCCGAGGCGCCCACGGGGCAGGACAAGAGCGCCACGCCCAGCCACGCGCAGAGGGGGGTGGGGGGACGGGGGGGAGGGCTTCGCAGGAGCACCCCTGCTTCTTAGACGGCGCGGGCCTCATCCATAGATGTAAGGCCGGCGCCTTCCAAGAAGCAGCTCCTTCTAAGGAGCCCCCCCCTCCCTCCGCCCCCTTGTGCGCGCCGCCAAGCAGGACAAGAGCGCCACGCGCCAGGCCGCGAATGACTGGGACCCAGCGCAACGGATGGCCTATCTCGTGTCGCTGAGCATCGCCGACGCGCGCGCGGAGCCAGGGCTGATGCGGTTCCTGGACGGCGTGCTTGCGGCTGCGCCGATGCCAGTTCCCTGGTCTGCATTTGTGGACCAGTTCGGGCACACCTTCTTCTACAACGAGGGCAGCGGAGAGAGCACTTGGAAGCACCCGATGGAGCACATCCTGAAGGACCTCGCAGCCACGTGCCGGCGGTCCCTGAAGCTGCCCGCAGGCAAGCGCAACGAGTGGCTGCAGGCGGTGGTGGACGCGTGGACAGCGAAGGCCGCGAAAGAGTATGCGAAGTGGTACGCGGCCAAGGATTCCGAAGGGCGAGAGTACTATCTAGTGGCGTTGGCCGATCCCGACAGGGCCAGAGGCCTCTTGGATGTCTGTTGGGGCATCTCGGGGTGCCTCTTGCAGGCCTCTAGACTGAGCTCTGGGGTGCCTCTCGCGACAAGCCCGGGAGATTTCGGCAATTGGAGGTGTGGCCCTTTACAAAGCGTTTTTACAGTACGCGAGAACTCGATGCAGAGGACTCCGAGGGGCTCGAGGGCCATCTACTCCGAGCCTGCGGCGTGGTGGCGGATTGTCAGTCCGAGACGAACGAGACTATGAGAGAGCACCCAGTGAAAGCGGTCTTGCCCGCCCATTACGTCAAGATCGAATTCGCAAGGAAGCTCCTTGACCACTCGTACGTGGACAGCTTACTGGCGCTGCCCACGACGGCGCCTCCGCAGCCAGCGTGGCGGGGTCCGCACGACGCCGTCTTCGTTGAAGCGAAGGCTGAAGTTGGCCACCCGCAGCGAGGGCACTCGTAACTACTCCCAGCGAGCCCGGACTGCGTGAGTTGGCCGCGCAGGTCGGAGAGGCCCGATCGGCCAGAGAAAGAGAGCGCCTCTTGCTCTGCGCGGGGGTTCGTCGCTCGCGACAGGGCGCTCCCACAGGGCCCCTTCCAGTGGCACCACAGCCAGTAGCGAGTGGAATGTGGGCGGTCGAGCAGATGAGTAAGCAGCCGCCCGTGTAGACGCTGGACTGCCTGGACGAGCAAGGGGGTCCGGCTTGCAGTCAGCGGCGGTGCCTGAGTTCGCGGCGCCGAGGTGCCGATTCGCTGTCGCCGCGAAGGGTGCGCCGGCCGAGTGCACAGCACCGATCGTGTCCCGCACGCCTGGGGGGCTTCGACGTGCAGCACGGCCCTGACGTGGCCGAGCTTGTCGCCCCAGCGACCGTGCCGGGGCTTTTCCGCAACTGTCGCTGTGCCCGCTGGGCCGCGGTGACTGCCACGGCTCATGAGGGTGAAAATCAGCGGCGTCATCAGGCATCGAACGCCTGGCCAAAGTCGAGGCGGAGCTTTTCGCCGTCTTCGGCCTTTGCAGCTGGTCTTCGGTCCCAGGGAGTCCCGGTCTTGACGGTCCCAGGCTGGGACCGTCAAGAAACGACTCAGGATTGGCACTTGGGGAATGGGTCTGGCTTATCGGACATCGCGTATCGCAGACATCCAACGCCGTGATCTGTTCACAACGTGGCTCCCCAGAGGCCGGGGCTGTTCATCCTGACTCGATTTGTGAAGGTCGTGGTGCTCAGTGAGGGCCCCCGGAGGCCAAATATTGGTAACAACAAATTGGGCGCTGCGTAATGGGGGGGGGATCATAAATGGGGGGGTGGCGAGTGTGGTCCGAAAAGGTACCCAAACGGTACCTAAACGAGTCCCCTGGGGCTCTAGAGGGGCCCGAAAGGGGAACGAAAGGGGACCTTTTCTGACCCCCCCCCAGTTGTGACCCCCCCACTTGAGCCGCGCCCAAACAGAAATCACGCCGCGATTTCGACGAGAGGGTGCCAGGGATTGCGCAGCTCGAGCCACGTGCGAAGTCCAGCTCCACGGGCCTCGGGGCCGGCCCCCTGGGCCTCCCTCCTCCCTTCTCCTCCTCCTCCTCCTCCTCCTCCCTCCTCCCTCCTCCTCCTCCTCCTCCTCCTCCTCCTCCTCCTCCTCCTCCTCCTCCTCCTCCTCCTCCTCCTCCTCCCTTCCTGGAGCCGCCTCCCCGCCTCTGCCTGGAGCCATGGTCACCATGACGGCCCCCGGTGCCATCGAGGCAGCTCCAGGAGACCATGTACCAGCCTCGAACGTATCCCTATCCCTAAGATTGACACGCCAAAAGACGATGACAATCTTAGGGATTCGCCCTCAAAAAATAAGGGAATCCCTGAGATTGGCATCCCCCCCCCCTATGACGCAATGCTCCCCCCCCCAGTGCGCTCCGGGCACCGCCGCCGTGCGCGCTGGGATCCGCGTAGGTGTCCGCGTAAGAATCCGCATAGGAGTCTGGTCCGCAGTCGTCGTCGTCGTCGTCGTCGTCGTCGTCGTCGCCGCCGCCGTCGTCGTCGTCGTCGTCGTCGTCGTCGTCGTCGTCGTCGTCGTCGTCGTCATCGCTCGTGGCTCGTCGCTCCTCGTCGTCGTACGCACGGACGCGGCTGGAGCCTGTTATTTGTTCCGGGCCGATCACGGCAATCATTTGAGGGGGTGCGGAGGGGGTCGATGACATCATGTTTCGCGCCGGCGGCTTCTGGGAATGCCTAGGAGTGACGGAGGACGGGTAGCACCAGCATGTAGGTGGCGATCTGCACCACAACGCCTGTGTACACCACAGTGCCTGCGTGCACCACAGCGCCTGTGTACACCACACCGCCTATGTACACCACGACAGCCGCGTGCAACACAGCGTCAGCTTGTGCCACCGTGCTCGCGGGCACAACAGCTGTTGTTATGTACACCGCAGCGCCTGCGTACACCACATCAGCCGTGTGCAACACAGCACTGGTGTACATAATGCCTGCGTGCATTGCAGTGCCTGTGTGCACCGCGGCGCCTGTGTGCACCACAGCAACCGTGTGCAACACATCGCCACACTTGCATATCGAATGTAGGAAGGAATCCGTATGACAAAATGGAGCGCTTGTGGATTCCACAGAAAACAATACAAAGGAATCCTTATGGACAAAGGAGCGACGCTGGAATCCGCCCGCATCACCCTAACTTCTCCCATCTGCGTCCAGGAGGCTCGGGCTAAATTGGCCGTGCGAGAACCAAGCGGACCGATTCAATCGACCGTTACGCGGTGCACTGCGCGCTGAATTGCGCACGTGCGTTGTAGCGCCACCCCGCGCGACAGGGGGCAAGGAGGAGGAAGAGGAGGAGGAGGAGGAGGTGGAGGAGAACGAAGAGGAGGAGGAGGAGAAGGATGTGGAGGTGGAGGTGGAGGAGGAGGAGGGAAGAGGGAATGACGTCGCATTCGATTATCAGCACTGTCCTGCACGCAGGCACTGGTGTACAGTCGAACTGCGTTGCGCGCGGATGCTGTGGTGTAGACAGGCGTTGTGGAGTGCACAGGCGCTGCGGTGCACGAAAGCATTGTGGTGTACACAGGCGCTCTGTTGCACATGGTTGCTGCGGTGTACACATGTACACCGGCGCTGTAGTGTACGCAAGCACTGTGGTGTACATAGGCGCTGCGTTGCACACGGTTCTTGCGGTGTACGCAGGTGTTGTGGTGTTCGCGCGCGTTGTGGTGCACGCGAGCGATGTGTACACAGGCGCCGTGGGGCATATCGCCACCTACATTTTGCTCGCGTCGTCCTCGTCGTCGTCGTCGCCGTCGTCGCTCGTCGCTCGTCGCTCTTCGCGTCGTGCGCGCGGGCGCGGCTTTGGTGCCGGAGCCACACGGCGGGGGGGTGGGGCGTTACGTCATACCCCCCCCGCCCGCCCCCCCCTTCCCAATGACGCCCGTCATCGCCGAACATAAAGAAACGCTCCCCGGATCGTCCCGCCGCCTCTCCAACCCAGAGATCCGACGCTCCGAACAAAATTTGAGCGGCAGGGAAGGCGCGAGTCAAGCTCGCAGTTGCCGGGCGGGTGACACTTCCAGGTGAAACGCCACCCGACGGAGGCCCAATCAGGGCCCAAGAGCAAGGGCCTGGAGGAGGAGGAGGAGGAGGAGGAGGAGGAGGAGGAGGAGGAGGAGGAGGAGGACGACGACGACGACGGTCCGCAAACACTTGGGCTCAAGCCCGCCCCTTTGTTGTATTTCGTTCCCGCCCCCTCGCCCGGGGCTCGCGGCGGCTGCGCCATGTCGCTGGGAGGCCTTCGCAGGTTGGCCTCGGAGCGGGAGTTCGACGGAGTCGCCCCGTCCGAAGTGCTGGCCGACTTCCAGGGATGCCGCAGCCGCGCACGCCTGCCCGCGACGCTGGGCGTGCCGCGGCAACGCTCGTGGAACCCCAAAAAATGGCTGCGCTCTTCCGACCCTGTGGCGCCCTGGGCTGAGGCTCTCGAGGTGGCCTGTCCTCACGAGCTGGCGGCCCACCAGGACGCCAACGACCGCCGCCTTGAGGAGGCAGCGATCACCGAGGCCCCGACGGCGCGCAGGAGGAGCTGGGCCATCGGCGGCGCTTTCCGCCGCAAGGCCGGCCTCGCCGGGAGGCTGGACGGGCAGGCCCTGGCGCTCCAGCGCAGCTGGTGCGACGCCGCCACCCCCGCCCGCAGCGCCTCGCCGCGGCGCGGCCGCGGCCGGGAGGCCCAGGAGATGTCCAGGCTCCTGGAGGGGCTGATCCAAGAGCACGTATGGGGGCTGCTGCACGATCAGAGCGAGGCGGAAGACGCGGACGACCAGCTGTGCATCGCGCTGGAGCCGGCCGCGGGGCCCAAGATCGAGTTCACAGTCGTGCCCGCCAGCCCGGGGAAGCGCCGCACGCTGCCGCCGGTGCCGGAGAACGGGGCCCTGGCATGGTGCGACGCGGCGATCGCCCTGTCGCTGGAGGACTGCACTCTGGAGTCGCACCGCATCCTGGCCTCGCTGGCGCCGCAGGTCCGGGCACAACAAGGAACGACAAACCCTCGGGGAAGAACCCACCAACCTTGACATTTAGTCGGGCCTGTCCCTCTACAGGGGGAAAATTCAAGAATAGGCAAAAAATAGTCTGGGGACTTTTTTATATCATTTTTTGATCATTTTGGAGTCTTGTTGGGGTATTTTTGATTTTTCGTCGAAGCTCCCCCTGCAGGGGGACGCGCCCGACTCAACCGTGACATGATCATCTGGTCGTGGTTGTGGTCGCCTTGGCCTTCCTGGCACGCCACACCGGCCACGGCCACTGCGAGGCTGGCCCCGGTGCCCCCGCCACTCTGGGCATACGCAGGACCTCCCCCGGGTGTGTCCTCGCCGTGGTCGTGGTCGCTTGCTGTCCCCGCAGCAGGTCCTGGAGCCCGTGGGGCCGCGGTGCACGGCCTCCGCGCCCGCCGGTGCGGGCCGCGCCGCCTCCACGGCGCCGCACGGGCGCCCCCGCGCGGCGGCAGGCTCCCCGCGGAGGAGGGGGGTCGTCTCCCCGTGGCCCGCAGCGGCCGCCCGCTGAGGGGCGGGGTCCCTCCGCGCGTGGAGCCGGGGCCTCTGGCGAGGGCCAGCGAGCGACATCGTCAGGTGTCTCGGCCAGTGAGGGCCGCCGACTGAGCGGTGCGGATCAGCGCTGCGACCCTGGGCGACTTTGAACCCAGGCGTTTCGAGCTGACCCAATTGCTTCAGTCAACGATGCGTCGCCCGAGCGCGGTTACGCGCAACTTCGCGACCCCCGCGGCCCCAGGGTTCTCTTCACGGTGACACAGGAAACTTAACCGAGAACGTAAGTCAAACTACGCTGTGTTTTCTACGCATTGCTTTCTACGTATCGTTTTCTACGTAGTGTTTTCTGCACAGTGTTTTCTACGCAGTCCTTACTACATAGTGCTTCCTACGTAGTGTTAACGACGTAACTAGTGTTATCTACGAAGTGTGTTCTACGCAGTGCTATCTACGTAGTGTTTTCTACGCAGTGCTGTCTACGTTGTGTTCACAGCGTAATGAAGCCTCTGGTGCACAGAAAACCGCAGCACACAAGGATAAACCACGGCAAACTGCAGCAGAACCACGGCACCGGAAAACAGCCGAAACACCAGAGGAAAGCAACAGCAAGCCACTGCACACCGCACCGAGCAAAACCGCTGCAAAACCACAGCAAGCTCACAGCAAACCGCAGCAAGCCACAGCAAACCACAGCGACGCCACAGCGAAACCGCAGCGAAACCGCAGCAGAACCACAGCAAGCCACAGCCCGAGAGGTCCCAGGAGGCAGGGGCCCCAGGGGGAGCATCAGTGGGACCCAAAGGTCCAGATCGGTAACCTCGGGAGGT